TACAGTGTTTTACCTTAGAATTTTTATGACAATTTAAAAGGTTAATGGGAACTCCTTGTGAAATCCTGGAAAGTTTGCTCTACTGGGGTTTATTACATAGATAGATTTCAGTTTTTCTATGGAGCTGCTTTTTAATTGTTTAGAGAACTGTAGTATTTTACCTGTTTAGTTTCACAATGTGTGTCACCAACAATGAAATATATTAGCTACGCCCTGTGAAATGAAATGTGATACCAAATGAAGAAGTATGAATAGATTTTCTTTACATGTAATAATAATACTATGTCTGTGACAGTCCTTAAATAAATAAAAATGCTGCCCTGAATTGTCAAAGTTTTCCACAAGAGGGCTCTTGAAAAACAAAAATACTGTTCATGATTAGGGATCTGCCTACATCTATTGGTAAAGAGAGAGAAACCAGATTTAAATATTTTTCAGAGAATTAGCTAAACTCAAAAATTCTTGGAATTAAATTAGTGCCATTAACAGAGTTAGCTAGTACTAACAAAAGCTAAAGTTTGTTGAATGCATCCTATATGCAGGACAGTGTGTGAAGTGGTAGGTATGTAGCAATTGTTACTATTTATCCTTTACACAGTCATGATAAGCATGGAATGCTGGAATCAGATTCCTCATTGCTCCCATTTGAAACCCCAGCTTTGTCATTTTTATTTTTTCTGTGACCTTGGGGAAGACATTTGTTACTTAACTTTATCCTCAGTTCTGCCTCTGTAAAATAAGGTTGTTGTAAGTATTGGTGGAATTAAGTAAAACATTTAGAAGAATGTTTTGGCACATGGTAAGTACATTGTGAATTCTCACTACTATTGTTATTTCAGAGGACAAAAGAGAGGTCCAGAGGGATTAAATGACATACCCCAAATCTCACAGCTCAAACAATGTGCTAGAACACATGTCTCTAATATAAGAGAATATTGGGAACGCCACTCCCACCCCATACTGAACCCCACTGCCAGCACTAGGGGACTCACCCTCTGTCTTCCCACTTTGCCAGTCTGTTTATGCTCCCAAAATTGTCCCATGCATCTCACTGTAATTACTGGTGTACACCTCTGTTACCCCTCACCATAGCCACTGATAGACATATTAAACTCTGTCATGGGGTTACTTGAATACCAGAACAATATCCTATTTACTTTTGCCTTCTTAGCAAGTTCTTTCTTAGTAGGTACTTACCCTGGTTAGCAATGATTAACAAGGATAATGACTCTATCAGGGCATGCTGATTTCTGCCATCCATTTTACAGAGGAGCAAAGAGAGATTCTAAGAGGCTATATAATCAAGATCTCATAGTTTGGGCCAAATGTAAGTACAACCCAAATGTACTAACCCAAAACAGGTAAGTGGATCAAGAAGATGTGGTCCATATACATAATGGTATACTACTCAGTGATCAAAAAAGATAAACTCATGCCATTTTTGGCACCATGGACAAATCTGGAAGGGATTATGCCAAGTGAAGTAAGTCAGAAGGTAAAAGATAAATATTATATGGTTTTACTTATATCTGGAATATAGAGAAGCCAAACAAACGAGCAGGAAAAAGACAAAACCAGCAAGCTGACCATACATCTGAGGCATCCAGCAGGGGAGGGTTTGGGAAAGGGATCAAAATGGGGGGTCGGGGGGTAAGGTAGAGGAGAGCACAGAGGTCTGTGGTGATGGATCTCGAGTGCTGTGGTGGTGGTAGAACTATGGGACTGCACCTGAGGGGAGAAATCAAACACTGTACAAGGATTAAACAGTGATGTAAGAAAATAAATTTAATTTTTTTAAAAGAATGAATTCTATTAAATACAAAACAAAACAAGACCAAAAATAGGAAGTGCTTTGGGAGGAAGAATTCTGAGAAGGATAGAAGGGAATTGGTAAAGCCCACATTCAATAATTGATATATGAGCTGAGCCTTAAAGGTACACATTTCTGGCAACAGCGCTGAAAGAAGCAGGAGATAAATAGTGGTAAATATATTAAATAATAATTCATTTGAAGGAAGGATACAGTTATTGTTTTTTTCTTTCTGCCTCCAGTCAAGAGGTGAAAATGTTTACCACATCGTTCAGTAAAATTCTCATCTGTCGCCCCTAGGTGGCAGACGTTTCCAAACTATGGCAGGAACCTGAGCTGAATATGAGAGGTTTGGACACCTTTTTTGGGGCTCTCCTGAAATCACAAACAGAATATTCTAAAACGTTCTCATTGTTGTCATTTTGAGCACCCTCGCTGTTTTTATGAAATGAAAGATAGCAACGAGAATAAAAATGCGTTTAAAAACGTGAATTGCATTTTAAGGGAAGAATGTAAAATTCAGCTCTGAACAATGGAACCTTCCACTTCAGGCTCAGAACAAGGCCAGAGATGTGGAGCAGCCCCACCACAGATTCCTATCTCCATGACAACCTTTTCAGTTCCATGCACAATTAAAGCTGCAGTGTCATTTTGTCAGTAAGGAAAAAAAAAAAAAAATAGGGCCCTGGCTGTTATTCATTTTTTAGATGTGGTTAGAGAAATTAAATTGATTCTAATTAGAGAGGCTGAATTATAGGGGGGAGGGGATCGATTTGAAAAGCCTCACATAAACAGCCTTATCTATCTCCTCCATTAGCAAAGAAAAATATGTATTTTGTGCAGACTCATGCACTGACATTATCACATTCTCGTTAGCTTTCTTTGACAACAGCTTTTGTGTCAGGCGTTCTCAAAAATCCTGGCTTAATTCCCTTATAGGCTACATTTGTGGATAAAAAAAAAATCAGTTCATTTCATTAGCAATTAAATTTTGACCAGATGGTCTGGAAACTGTTGGGACTCCCTAAAAATCATAGACTAACCTTACCTCCAGGCCTAGAGTGATTTTTCTTCTGCTAAAGACATTTCTGGATTTTTTTCATTGCCAGTGAGAAAATCTGTAGGACTCAGTTTCCTTCCACCTTGAAGGAGCATGTTCAGAATTCTTGAAGGGTTCAAAGGGAATATTTAAAGACAAGTGAAATTTATCAAGAAAGTTTAGAGAAACAAGAGTTTGGTAAATAAGAGCATATGTTTGAAGGAATTTATAACTTAATATATTTCCAAGAGTATTTAATGACTTGAAATTGAGGGAAGAACAGCTCCTTTTTGCCTATAAAAATTGTTAATATTGAGTAAAGATACCCATGAGACCTGATTTTTTGTGGTAGTTCATGAAAGTCATAAACATAAAAAGACTTAGTTGAATTTAAGACATTTCTGAGATTCCTGAGGGTGAAATCAAGGTAGAAATAATATTACCAAGGGTTATGATAGAATATTGTTCCTTGAAAATCATGAACATGACATATATTTATGTTTGGATTCCCTCTAGAAATAAAGTATGACCTTTCCTGAAATCAGGACCAGATGGCTCCTCATGGACCCGTAGTCCAGCACCTGACATTTTCACAGGTTTGAAATGCAAGAACAATGATGGTTGATTTATTCATTTAACCGTTGTTAACTGTTTGGGGGTATCATTTAATAAGATTAAAATGTAAGCCCCTGCCCTTTGCCCAGCAGGCAGGTTTGGGAGGCTAAATAGATAATGTTGCTGTGGGAACCAGGCAATAAGGCTGATGACTTTGGCCATGAATGAGGAAGCAGGGCCAGGACACATTCTGTCAAAGGTCAATGCCCAAGACCAGGCATCCTACACTAACTGGCCCAAACAAACTCCCCAGTTGTGAAAAGCCCATAAAAATAGGTTATAAAAGGGAGCCCCAAATCCTTTGCATGCAGACCTCTCCTGTCTCTCCTACTGCGTCTCTTAGCATTGTATTTCAATAAATCCACCTGTTCTGTTCTCTACTCTGTCTCCAGTTGAAGTCTTTCACCCCTGAGCCTCTGGCCTCACCCTGATCTTCTTCCCACAACATAAACATCCAATGAAAAGAACTGGGAGAAATAAACAGCCAGTCTCTGGCCCAGCATACTGGTAGGTAGAGGTTTGTCATTGCTTAAAGAATGTTCTACTTTTATTCCCTTTCTGCATGGGCAAACTGAGACAAAGAATAGGTAAATGTCTTTCCAGAACTAAATCCACTGTAATGACATATGCTTCTCTTTGTCCAGCATGCTTTTGGCTGACTCCTCTTCATTCTTGTCTCTGTCCTGGGCTCCACAGCAGATGTGGAGCTGAAGCCTGAAGGAAGAGAGAGTTCTATCTCTAGGCCAAAGTGATGCATTCAGAAGAGAACATTAGACATAAGCTTTGCCAGTGAAAATTGCTTCCTCCCTGGAAACCTTGAATCTATAGGGGAAGACATGGGTTTTTGTTTGTTTATTTCTGTGTTTGTGAAGCAAATATAATCCTAGAACTATTAGTGGTTACTGTTTCATCCTGTAGGAAAAGCTTGCATGATGGTGAAGCCAACACAATTAAGCAACACGATATGTCCTTTTGCATACAAATATTTCACATATGCAGACACAGAGGCCTGGTTAGATTTTAATTGTGAGGTGTAGAAAGAGAAAATGTATCTAATGATATTGTCTAATGACTCCTACAGCTAGAGCCTGACAAGCTCACTTGGATCCTTGTAACTTGTAAGCAAGAGGAAAATTTTTAAAATATTCTTACTTTTTAAATTAGCGTACAGTGAAATTGACTTTTTCATGTAAGTGTATCAGTTTTAGTATTTACATAGATTCAAGTAACTACCACCATTATTAGATTATGTTATGGAAAGAGTTTTTTCCAGTATGTCAGGCGACTCCTTTACACCATTTTTTTATAGTTATACCTCTAAACACTTCTAAACCTTGGTAACCATTCAACCATTGCCCATAATTTTAGATTTATTTTTTGAGAATGCCATATAAACAGAATCATTGTTTTGCAACATTTTGAGACTTTTTTTCTCTCAGCATAATATATTTGAGCATCTTCCAAATTATGACATGCATTGATAATTTGTTCCTTTTTATTGCTGTGTAGTGTTCCTTCAAACAAATGAATCACAGTCTGTCCTCATAAACTTTGGGCTACTTCCAGTTTTGGAAAGACTTTATGAATAGAGATGCGATATAAACACTTTACTAGCAGCAGTATGTGAGAGTTCCAGTTGTTCTGAATTCTCATCAGCCTTTGAAATTGTGAGTTTTAAATTTTTTTAGTTATTCTAATAAGTGTGTAATGGTATCTCACTATGAGTTTAAATGTGTGTTTTGCTTTTGGCTAATGATGTTGAACATTAAAAAAAAATGCTGATTTGCCATCTATATTGCTCCTTTGGCGAATGTTCAAGTTTTTGCCCATTGAAAACATTAGTTTCTTTGTTTTCTTACTGGTGAATATTTAGAGTTCTTTATCTATTCTAGATATGTGACTTGCCAGTATTTTCTCTCCATTTTAGCTTGCTTTTTCATTCTTTTCTGAGTCTTTTTGGCAAAGCATAAGCTTTCGATTTTGATGAAGTTCCAATAATCATTTTTTTCTTTTGGTTTGTGGTCTTTATCTAGGAACTTTTCACCTAACCTCAGGCCATAATTTTTTCCCTCTTATATTGTCTTCTAAGCTTTTTAGGTGATGCTAATACAAATAAAATTTGTGATCCTTTGAGAAGCAGTACTACTTTCATCCTGGAAATATGTATCTATAAAAGTTGATTAAATGTCCTGGTTTGACTCTAATCTGCATCCATCACTGGATTCAATATGTCATACAGATCTTTGGAGAACTAGCTTTATAAAGGATGGAGGAACTAAAACAGTACAAAAAGTTTAAAAAGTCAAGTGTCTTGAGCCTGGCAGATCTGGTTACAACTCTAGTCACTGACTGCATTTTATCAAGCTTTGCATCTAAATATCTTGTTTCTCTTTAAGTAATTTAAGAATTATTAAAAAAAAAGGAATTGACCCTGCCTCTCAAAAGAACTGTACCACTTATATGCTTTTTAAAAATGCCATTTCCCAGATTCCACTCAACAACTACTTGTTTAGTCACTCTAAAGCATCCATAGTCTATATTGCTAACAAACTCCATGGAGTATTCTGATCCAGGATAACCCTTGAAAATCTCTGCTCTAAAATTCCATGAAGATTAAACAGCTTAGGATAGTATAGCAGACAATGCAAAAAGCATGCAGTTCTTGTAAATACTTTTGGCTTAATCTAAGGTAACTTTACAGGTACATTCACAAGCTCACTTCCTGCAAAAAGTTCTGCACAAAGTTCCATACAGTGCTTTTCATCTTTTTTTTTTAAACATTTATTTATTTATACAAGACCGGGGTAGAGGCCAAATGCACGGGAGGATGGGAGGATTCACCAGAGACAGAGCGGGGAACAGGCAGACTGACGAAATACACTGCTGAGGGGAGCAGCGGTCCAGACAGGAGAGGTCTGCTGTGCCATGCAGGATTCTTGCCGGCTGGCCGGGATCGAACCCGTGCTGAAGAGGCTGCGGACAGCTTCACAGCGCTGCACTCAACAGCCAGCACCACCAGGGAGGCCCTGCTTTTTATCTTTTTTCAGCAGACCTGAAATCTTGAGCTGATGAAAGTGACCAAAGTTGAACTACTGGGAAGCTGAAATGGATCACTGCAGGAAGGGAGGATTTGCTCCTATAGCTATTGGGAATGCTTCTATCCCCACTTTAGCCATCTCTTAAATACTGTCTCACCTTAATTCACACATCCTTTTCCCAGCGTGACTTGTCTTCAATCACTTAGGAATTAGGGGGTGGGAGGAGAGGAAATTCCCTGCTCAATTTAAGATTTAAAAATCCCCTGCCCAAGTGATAAGTACTTTTAATTTTCTAGCACTTTCCCCTATACACCAGGAGTTATGCAATATAAAGTTTTGGATTTTGAATTTGATTTCATTTAAAGATTAATGAATATTCTCTATACTTGTATTTTAATCAAAGTATAACATAAAAATGTATATTCTTATATGAAAGGCTTGAAAATTTTTGTGTAAAATCATGTGTAGCCACAATTTAGATCAAGACACAAAGCAAAAGATTTTGTTTTGCCTTTGCTCAGTCTATTCCCAAATTAGAAGTAAATAATCTGACCTTTATCATAAGGTCAGATTATTCCCTGTGCTTTCCCTGTTTGACATTTTTACTCATCTTAAAGTCTGCAAGAGCCCTCATATTATTGCATGTACCATTAGTTCATCCTTTTTATGACTGGGTAAAATTCTGTTACATGAACATATCAAATTTATCCATTCTCCTGTTGTTGGGCATTTGGGTAGTTTTGGATTTTTAGGTATTTTGAATAAAGTTGCTTGAAGCACTCTTATTCTTATTCTGTCCTCTTTGTCTGTCTTCCCCCTATATGATGCTGTCTTATTAGCTGCATGTTTAATTTCTGGTAATCTCCAAACTTTATTTTATTCCTTACAGATGTTGTTGAATCTTATATATCCATGGCTGTTTTGTATACATTTCAAAATCAACTTGTCAATTTACACCAAAAAAACTAGAAATTTTATTGGGATTGAATTGGCATGTATTTTTCATGAACATAGTACACCTCTCTGCTCATTTGGTCTTTCTATTTTTCTCTAAGTAGTTTTTCATGATTTACAGTTTATAGGTCTTGTTTTGTGTAGGCCTTCTGCAGATGGAGAGCACACTAATGAGCTAAGTTGGAGAAGGTCCTCAGAGAAGAAGGCACAACAGAGGTAAGTGAGGTACCAGTGAACTCCAAGAAGATTAATATCACTAGGAATTCAGCATCCTCTTTCAAACTCCATTTACATTAGCAGTATTTTTCCTAGTTTAAAATATTATACTGACTAGTATAATAATTCCCTTTATTTCCAGTTACCAATTGTAGATGCAAACCACAACTATGAAACACATTCACAGCAACAGTTGATATGGAAAACTAATCATCATACCAAGAAATTCAAAGTGACCATAAACAGCAAGAGACTAGGAATGGATTCTGCGTTTGGTCCTTGGAGGGAGTAGTTTTGATATCACCTTAGTTTCAGACTTGTAGCCTCCAAAGTTGTGAAAGAATAAATGTCTGTTGTTTTACTCTCCACGTTTGTCATTTTAAACTACCATGGTTTTGAAGTTTTAACCCCATCAAGTGGCTATAAGAAATAAATACAGGTGATTTGTAGCTATAGATTTGGGAACCACAGGCATCAAAGGAGAAAGAAGAACAACATGGAAGACGTAGTGTGACGAAAATTCAAGAGAAAAAAAGTATTTCAGTAGGTGGTTTATACTATCAACTGCTAAAGAAAGATCAAGCAAGATAAAGACTAAAAGATTTTCATTAGCTTTAGCAACAAAAATAGCAGTGAGGGTCCCCCACCGGTGGTGCAGCGGTTGAGCGCTGGGCTGCGAGGCTGCCCACAGCCTCTGCAGCACCGGTTTGTTCCCCGGCTGCCGGCGAGGGTCCCACCAAAAAAAAAAAAAAAGCAGTGAGAAAAAGCAAATTTTAATATGCAGAATGGCTAAAGGTTAAGTAGAGATTTGCAAATGGCAAATCTAGACTTCCTTCTCTTCAAAATGCTGAATCTTGGAAGGAAGTAGTGCCATAGTTAAAGAGAGATAATGTTAATTGAAGGTCTCCTTTGTTTCCTTACTTAAGGTAGAAAAGCTACCAATTCTTTAAATCCTCTTCATAAAAAGAACAAGGAGAAACAAAGTGAGTAATATAAATAAGAGTGACAACTGATGAAGTACAATCCTTGAGAACCAGGCAGTTTTAGGATCTAAAACTTTAGGGAGAGAAATTGTATCTCTTCCATTGTAAACACAAACATCAGGGAAAAAAAGTCCAGGCAAATCGAATATGAGATATAAAGCTGAGGAAGAAAGTTTCAATTTTCTGTTTCCTCTGCATTGTTGAAGATAAAGCTATTTACTAAAAGGGAAGGATAAATCTTGGAGACAGAAAGTTTTGAAATGATTACAATTACTTGCAATAGTCAATCTGGGCAATGGGAGAGAAAGTTAGGAAAAATAATAGACTATTTCTGCATAACCCTGAATAAGCATTTGTTGTTGGAAACTATCAATTTAGAGTGGTAGCAAGCTGCATGATATAAAAATTCCTGCTAGAATGCTCAAAAATCCCAGAAAAAAAGAGGACATTTGGATTGATCCACTCTGCATTGATTAGTCAGGGACAATGAAAGAACAAATTAATAAAGATGAGGACAATAACAAGAGAATTGTAGGAATAATGCACATTGTGTTATTCAGAAGGCTTATGAAGCAAACTTGTATTATCAGGGAAAACCCACAAAGTTATTTAGCTTATTTAATTAAGGGTTAAGCATTTATTCCAGCCCAAACTATTAAACTGTATAGCAATATGTGCAGAGAGTACCTTTAGTGACCTAAAATTACCTTAACTTAATTAACATTCATTTTTATAGTAAAATCCCCAATAAGAGAGCTCTTGGCCTCATTTTCTGAACATATGGTTCATGCAGAGGCATGATCTGGTGATAAAACTATACTGTGTTTGAGCAACCAAAATTCTGGGCATCCCATCACACCTTCACCCTGTCTATATACCAGTAGACTTATAAAAATCCTAATAGTCTTATAAAAATAGAAAGTTGAGACAGTGCTTTGAGAGTAATCTTCATATCTTCCTGCTGGATTTATGTAAATAAAATTTTCTTTACCACACATTTTATTAGTCCATTAATTAGTGCAGAACTTGGACTGGTCCATTTGTTGGTGCAGGACAAAATGATAAATCCCTTAAGTTCAGTTACCATGTTATTTTGAGTTTCAACAGGGTTGTTTTTTTTTTTTAACATTGGTTTAACATTTTTTAACTGCTGTCAAACACTGAAATGTGTGTTCCTAAAACACTCAGAAAAGCTTTAACAGTAAAAGATATTTAATCTGAACAAATGAGAAGCAGTGATGCTCAATGAAGAGAAACAATTAATGAAAGAAAGCCAAAGGCCAAAAGGAAGAAAGAACTACGGTAGACATGAAATAAAGTTCAAAGAGAAAGGACAGGTATCTGATAGTAGTGGACTATGGTTGTGGTTATGCTATTTGCTTCAGTAAATTTAAGTGTTCAAAGCAATGATTATATATAAATTCTCTTACAGGGATATTTCTGGAGTTGGAATAGGAGAGAGATGAGGAATGAAGGAGAAAATAATTAATAGGAGAAAACACTCCCAATAACAGATTTGGTATTTTTCTCCCATAGGGTAAAACACATGATGCCTATGCAAATTTGAATTTCAGATAAACAGTAAGTCTTTTCATCTAAGTATGTCCCAGATATCATATAGGATATGCTTATCCTAAAAAATTACTCATTCTTTGCATTCAAATGTAACTGGCTGTCCTGTATTTTTATTTGCCAAATCTGGCAATCCTAAATTTCCTCCACCAAAAGAGATAGTTTGCTTTAATTTTGCCAAGGACTAGAATTATACAGAAATATTATCTCTAGGAGAGAATGAAGCACTATGTTTTAAATTTTTTTTAATTCACCATAAAAATATTATCAAAATATTATTTGGATCAGAAGCATGTGCACATAATATGCATGTGTGTAAGTGTGTGTGCTTTATTCTGAAATCTTTTTCATTTTTATTTATTTTCTTCCTACAAAGGAAATTGCATTTGATAGTATTTCCTAGAAATCCAGTGCTTATTAAAGTGTAACTGGATTAAAGCTATTTTTAGATTATCATTGCTCCTCCACATCCTGGAGATATCTAAATGAAATCTGTCTAAATCAGGAATAGCTGAATGCAATTGACAGATTTCATAGCACTCCATGAAAGTCCTCTCTAAAAAGAAAGGTTAGGTGTCTAGAGTTGAAGACAAAGAGTAAATGTCTAATGAGATTTAAATGGAAACCACTAAAGATGACATACAGCAATTAATATATATGGACTAATGACTCCTTGTCAGACATTGGCCTAAGTCTTTCATGTCTTTGATGGCCAGAAAGTGTTAATATCCACATCTTGTATATGATGAAACAGCATAAGTTCAAGATGACTCCATTAGGGAAGCAAAGGATATGACAGCAAGACAGCACCAGGAACTCTGCTGTTAAGACACTGAAATGTGTGTTCCCAAAATACTCAGAAAAGCTTTAACATTAAAAGATATTTATGTAAATACTTTATTGTCATGAAAGGAAAAAAGAACTGTATAATAAACAAGTTTCATATCTAGCATAGTGAATAGGTTATTGGTTAACTGATTGTCTAAAACATCTCTCCATTCTGGTACAACTAAACCATTGTTCACCCTTCTATTGCAGCATTCTTAACAATGAATTAAATTTATTTGTTATTTAGATGTTCTCCCATAGGAAATTGGGACCTCATTTGGATAAGGAATTAGGAAATTATATTCTCATATTAGCTCTAGCAAAGTACCTGGGTGTAGCATTAGTGTTGTTAAATTAAGGTGTAAGTGAAGAATACAAGGAAGAATTTTACAGTATGAGTTAGAATTCAAGGTTTTCTTTTTTCTGCTTGGAAGGATTAATCGTCTATACATTCTACTGAATATATTACTTTCTAGTTTTACTGATAACAAAAAATATACAGAAAAACTAAATCCAATATTCAAGCAAAGAACATTTTTCGTGAAATAAAAACATGATGGGGCAGCAACTGCTTTGAGCACACTCTAGGTATGAGAGAAGGAGAGTTAATAGTTTTTTAGGGGTTTGTTACAGGACTAGAGCAGAGAACCAGGATATTTAGTGGCCAGTTTTATGTGGATTTCAGAACCAAGGACAGCAATGGAGATGACAGGCTCAATAGAGGAGGGGCAGTTTACCAAAAATGGATCAAAAATGGGCTTAATAACGTGACCAAAGGACATTTTTGAAAATAAGGGCAAGGTGGGTCAGTAACAATAGCTGGAAGATCAATTTAGTAAACAAGGAGAGGGTGGGCTCAGGAACATCCTGGGAAGGGCAGTTGAGCAAACAAGATCTAGGGGAGCTCAATAACAAGACCACAATTGCATATTATCAAACGAGAAGAGGGGACTCAAAAACAATGAAGAGAAGGGCAGTTTATCAAACAAGGAGAGGGTGTGCTAAAAAAAATAACTGGAAGGGCAGTTAGTGTATAAGTACTGGGTTGACACAGGAGCGGAACACCAAGACCAATTTAGCAAAAAAGTAGAGGTGAGCTTAATAACAATAACTAGAAGGGGAGTTTAGCAAATGAGAGAGTGGGCTAAAACAATATAAGCAGGTCATTTTAGCAAACACAGAAGGGCAGACATAAAACAACAGGAAGGGCAATTTAGCAAACCAGGAGAAGGTGGACTCAAGAACACAATAGAATTTTGTAAAACAAGGAATGGATGCACTCAAAGTATAACAGGAAGGGTGGTATAGCTAATAGAGGTACTCAACAATAACTAGAGTGGTGCTTTAGCGAAAAAGGTGAGGATGGAAAAAAACAATATTAGAAGGTCATTTTAGCAAACAAGAAATGACAGATAAAAAACTGTAAAGGAAAGGCCAGTATAGCTAACAAGGAAAGGGTGGACTCAATAACTGGAAGAGCATTTGAGCAAACAAGGAGTGGGTGGGATAAATAACAACACAATTGAATTTTAGCAAAAAAGAAATGGATGGGCTCAAACTATATCATAGGGGCAATATTGCTAATAGGAGAGGGTACTCAACAATAACTGGAATGATACCTTAGAAAATGAGAGGGTGGGCTCAACAATAACTGGGGGCAGTTTAGCAAACAAGGAGTGGGTGGGCTCATAACTAGAACACAATTACATTTTTATCAAACAAGGAATGCATGGACCAAAAACTATAACTCAAAGGTTAGTATAGCTACCAAGGAGAGGGTGGGCTCAATAATAATAATGGCTTGGAGTGTTTAGTAAATAAGGAGAGGGTTGGCTGAAAAATGGTAAGTTCATTT